TCCTGCTCCCCCAGCCCCGCTGCTGCCCCCCCTGCCCGCCCCCCTCTCCCGGGGGGATTTGGGAAGCAGAGCAGACCCGAGCCCGGGTGTCAACACGGGCCTTCCCGACCCCACTCCCGGAGGGCATAAACACCGCGGGTTAAAAAATATAGAAACGGTTAAATAAGGGAAAGTTTCACCGACTTTTTCTTGCCCTGTGTCCGTGACGCTGCCCAGCTCCACCACCCAAATCCTGCCACTGCCGTGTCCCAGGGGCTCCACGGCTGCCTGGCTCCATCCCTCCACCCTCCCAGCTCCATCCCTCCACCTTCCCAGCTCCATCCCTTCGCCTTCCCAGCTCCATCCCTTCGCCTTCCCAGCTCCATCCCTTCGCCTTCCCAGCTCCATCCCTTCGCCTTCCCAGCTCCATCCCTTCGCCTTCCCAGCTCCATCCCTTCGCCTTCCCAGCTCCATCCCTTCGCCTTCCCAGCTCCATCCCTTCGCCTTCCCAGCTCCATCCCTTCGCCTTCCCAGCTCCATCCCTTCGCCTTCCCAGCTCCATCCCTTCGCCTTCCCAGCTCCATCCCTTCGCCTTCCCAGCTCCATCCCTTCGCCTTCCCAGCTCCATCCCTTCGCCTTCCCAGCTCCATCCCTTCACCTGCCCAGCTCCATCCCTCCACCCTCCCAGCTCCATCCCAGCGCTGCCTGCCTCTCCCTGCCAGCCTTCCTGCCTCTGCACTTCTCCATCCCTCTGCATTTCCACAGTGTTTCCCTCTGCTCCCTGCCTGCCACCCAGCCTGGAGCTTGCAAAAAAAAGTGTGGCAGGTGAAGTGTGGTGGTTTCCTGCTGGATCAGGGAGGGTCGCAGACCCCCCAGCCCCTCCACCTGCTCCCAGCCCTTCCCAAAGGTGGAAGTGGGACAGCCCAGAGCAGGGGGACAGCTGGAGGGGAACCCCAGCACCTGCAGCAAAGGGGGACGTCAGCTGTGGGGTCGATGGAGGACAGGAGGGTGCTTGGTCATGCTCAGAGGAAACATCTCCTCCAGGGAACAACATGTGTTTATCCAGCCTGGAAAAAGCAGCCCTGGCACTGAGTGGCAGGAGGACACGGGGGTTAGGAGGAGCAGTGGTGTTCCTGGCCCCTTTCCCACTCCCCCTCTTCTCTACAGAGCTCATACATGGGATCCTCCAAAATGTCCCTTCTCGTGAGGGTCCTGCCAGGCACCTGGGGGCAGAGGGGGTCAGCAAGTGTCAGGAGGGAAGGAAAATTCTGTCCCAGTCACAGCCTCGTCTGAGAGGCTGAAGTGTCCCCAAAAGATGGTGCTTTGGCTCAGGACTTACATGGGGAAAGGTCAGATCCAGTGACAGGAGACCTGGAAAGTGACTGTCACCACGTGTGCTGCTGTCCAGGCACAGCCACCAGCCAGGGAGGCTCCTGCAGGGAGGTCCCCAGAGCAGCCCTGGGCAGGACACAGTGTGTGCAGGGGGATGAGGGATGCAGGGACCAAGCCCTGACGTGCTCTGCTGGGGCTGCCAGACACCCCCATCTCCAGGGGCCTGGGGGGATGGAGGGGCACACAGGGCAGAATTATTGCAGAGGGGATGTGTCCCTCCCAGGGGCTCAGCAGGCACTTTTCTCTCCCCCCTTCCCAGCAACAATCCCTGGATTTGTCAACTCTCTCAGGAGATCCAGAGGCTTTTCTCAGGGTATTTAATTTTGCTGGGCTGTTCCCAGCGACCCCTCTACCTCCTTTCTCCTCACACTCTGCATTTCAGCAGCACACAGGAGGAAGGCTGGAGACAGCAGTTCCGTTCCTACCCTGGATGTCCCTCTCCCCAAGGAGCAAACCCTGTGCCAAGCTGCATTTGGCTGCAAGGAGCTGACTCCAGAAAGTGTTTGGGAGGTTGGGGACTCTGGGCTCAGACCTGGGCACACTCTTCTTCTGCACATCACAGGGGGAAAGCAGATGAGTCTCCTCATTGCAGGGCTTGGCAGCTGGTTTTCCACCCCTCCGGGAAGCTCAGGACCTGAATAAACTCAGACCCCAAAGACAGCACGAGGCCAATGAGCTTGGCAGGAAGCACAGAAATACCTCTGCCAGTCCACGAAGCCATTCCTGAGCTCAATTTTCCACACTTGCAACCGCTGAAGAGGTGGCTGAGGCAGCAGAAGTGCTGTCCAGGCCAACCCAAAGGCTCACCTGGCCTTGGCTCCTGGGTGTTTGTCCAGGAAAATGAGGTAAGAAACAGCTGCAGCAAGTGCAGCCCCAGGCTCCCCTTCATCCCCCCCAGGCTCAGCAGATTTCCCCCCCAAGCAGCCAAACATCCACCTTTGAGTCTCTCTTCATCACACTCCTGAGCATCCTGTCCTGGATTTACTTTATCTTGGCAATTCACTTTTGGAGCAAAATAGGATCCACCAGCTTTCCCCTCTAATTGCTCCACAAATGCACCCAGAGCCACCCCTGCTCCCTTGCCCATCTGTAGCTCCTGTGAAGCAGGAGGCATCTCAGCAGAACCAGGATCAAGGAGAGTTGTGGTCTCTCCTATTAAGACCAAACACAAACACTGACTAAAGAACCTTAGGATCTGAATCTTTAGAAAATAAATTCCTACCAGGTGGATCCCAGGTTCCAGGCTAAAAGCTGGGCCCCCAGCCTGGCTGGAGGCTTTGGGGATCCTTTCTGAGGTCACTCCCTACGCAGAAAGGAAGAGCCAGAGAGCTCTCACATTATTGCTGCTCTGTGGGGTGGCCAGATGTTCTGCACCCCTGACATGGCACCAAAAACCAGCACCAGAGGCCAGGGATATTGTGGGTATCATGACATCTACAGCCAGTGCATTAGATGCTCTTGTTTGTCATTCCCCCTGGAAAACCAATCTTGGAGAGGCTCTGCAGCAAGTCTGTGTGTTCGAGAAACTCCCATCTCCCTGCTGCTTTTTGAAGATGACCTGTAATTTCTTGCTCTGGCTTCCTGCCTCCAACCCATCAAACCCTGCCAGGCTCCTCCCCAGCCCCGTGTTTTCAATCAAAGGAGAACTCCGTGCAGACTTTTTAGAGAGTTGTCCTGCCTGCCATGTGGTTTGGTGCCTCAGGCAGTTGCCTCCAGACTCCAGCTGTTTTTATTACCTAAGTGGGTTTGATTGCTCCTTCGTTTGTGCCTGAGCGAGAGCCCTTGGCACCCTCGTGGGCTTTAATGGGGTCTGTGTGTTCTAGCTACCAATTAAACCCGCTGGCAGGGATTAACAGCTCCCAGCACCGCTGCCACGGAGCAGAGGGGACACGGCTTCCCGGGGCTCGGGGAGAGGAGCCGGCAGGAAAGGGACAGGACTTTCTGCAGAAGGTCCACCCTGAGCTGACAGCTGTGTTGGCTGGAAGTGGCTCCGTCCCCAGGCGGCCGCTGCCCCTTCCTTCTCATCAGCAGAGTCCCAGGCTCCCTCTCTGTGTCCCTCAGACACGTTTTCTGGTGGAGGTGACAGTGCTGGTGGGTGTCACCAGCATGTGAGTAGAGGCACCAGGGGACAGCTGGGCCAGCACAGGCTGGCTGCCAGGTCTGCTCCTGGGAAGCCTTGTGTGTGGGGTGATGTAGAGATCAGAACTCAGGATGTGGAGGGCATCCCCCCCCAGGTCACTGTGGCCAGGAAGGGAGGGGACCCTTCTCCCCATCCCCTACCCTCATAGTCCTTCCCAGGCTCAGAGCAGGTGGAAGCAGCCAAACCCAATGAATTTTATCTTTACACACCATTTTGGCCCTAACTAGTGGATGGTTCTGGCTCCTGCCCCTGCCCCCAGCAGGGTCCTGCTGCCCCAGCCCCTGCCCAGCCCCCCAGCACAGCCCTCTGCCTCCTGGGGA